GCCCGCCTGACGGAGAGCGAGGCGCGCCGGCAGCAACAGCAGCTCCTGCAGCCGCGGCCCTCGCCCGTGGGCAGCAGCGGGCCCGAGCCCCCCGGGGGGCAGCCCGACGGCATGAAAGACCTGGACGCCATCAAGCTGTTCGTGGGCCAGATCCCGCGCAACCTGGACGAGAAGGACCTCAAGCCGCTCTTCGAGCAGTTCGGCCGCATTTACGAGCTCACGGTGCTCAAAGACCCGTACACGGGCATGCACAAAGGTGGGCGCCCCGGCCCCCGCCCTCCGCTCCCCTCCCTCGGCCCCCCACCTTCCGGCACATTCGCTCCCCACCCTCCCCTCCTCACCTCCTCCCTCTGCTTCCCTCTGCCACGGCATCATCCCCCCTCCCCATCCACCCCCTCCTCCCCCCTCTGGGGGTGCAGTTGACAGATCGGAGCTGGCCCCCTCCCCTCCTCCGCCCCCTCTCCCTTCCTCCCCACCTTCCGGCATCTCCTCTCTCTCTCTCTTTCCTTTTCTCTCCTCTCCCATCTCCCTCTACCTCCCATCCTCCCCCCACCCCCAGCATCTTCTCTCTCTCCCTCTCTCTTTCTCTCTCTCTTCTTCCCTCCCTCCCACTCCCCTGACCCCCATCCCTTCCTCCATCCCCATCCACTCTTTGCTACCCCTTTGCAGGGGCTGCTACCCCAAGCTCGACACCCCTCCCCTCCCCCCACCCATTCATTCAGCCTCCCCTGGCCTCCAGCTTCGAAGTTTGCACCTTGCACTCCATCGTTTTGGTCAATTTCACAAAGCCAGGCCGCTGGGGCAGGTTCGTGGATGCCCAGGACCCCGGGCTGATCGGTAACTACAAAGAAAGAAGGGGTGGGGGCTTGGGAGTTGGGGGGTAGGAAGAGCCAGGTTTAGGGGGTTGAATGATCCTCTGTCCAGCTCCTTTGACCATGCTGTTTGGACAGCGTCTCCCCTCCTCCTCACCCTGGCCTCCACCTTTGGCTCAAGTTGAAACTGGCCAAGCACTCCTCAGCCCTGTGCTGGGGTCCAGGGCCAAAGACAATGGGAACCGGAGCCATGCAGCCCAGTCCACTGGCAGAGCCTGAGTCCTGAGGGCTGGGAGGCAAGAGGGAGGCGTGGGCGACGACCCCAGGCCCGCTGGAGTAGGCAGGTGGGCTGTGAGGCCTTGCCCACCTCCCTCCCACCTGATTCTCACTTAAGTGGCCTCCCTGAGGGGGTGTCCAGTGACCGTCCGGAGCCCTGTGCTGAGCTTGTGGGCTGAGCATCTGTGAATTTGGCTTTGACAGTCTGCTGTCAGGTTGGCGACAGGGCTGGGGGTGCATCTGGGGCTTTGTGGACCCTCAGAGGGGTCACTGAAAGGGTCCAAGGCCCTGTCTTGGCCCCAATTTGTCAGCTGCCTTTTTCTTCAGCATGGTACACACAGGAAGTGTGGAGTCTTATTTGATGAATGAATGAATGAATGAATGAAAAGCAAATGAATGAATGAATGACAGTTCTGGGCAGGCCATGGGAAGAGTCCAGTGTCACAGAACTCAGGCCTATCACTTCCACCAGACCCTCTAATGGGCCCTGGAGGAAGGCAAGAACCACTTCCCATCCCCCACCTCTCTTCAAAATCCACCACCACCCAAAATAAAGAAATAAAGCAGAACTCTAACTCCTGAGTGGCTTCAGAGAGCCAGGTGGCAAAGGGTCAGAGCCCAGCTTTGGGGTCCCTCTCTGACCAGAGACCTCTCCTCAATCCCCACTCCCATCTATTAGGCCCCCCTCCCCCATGTGTTTGAAAAATCTTTTTCTAGAAAGATTCCGATGGGGGTTGGGGTGCCCATGTGGCTCCCCCATTGGATGGAGAGGGTGCTGGTGAGCTCTGGAGGTTGAGGGGAGAGATAGGATGCAGGTGACATGGAGGCCACATGTCAGTCCTCCACATTTAAAGTCTCCTCCAGATCGAGGTGAGGGGTGAGGGAGGGCTGGAGCCTCAGACTCCCTGCCTCACTGGAGTGGATTAATGTGGAATTAATTTTCCTTGGGATCTGAAATCTCCTCATTTCTCATCTCTCCTTGGAGGGTGGGAGTTGGGTGGCCAGGTGACCGGGCTGTCTGATCCTCATCCTCCAGGTCCTAGGTCTGTCATCCCAGGCATGGGTTAGCCATGGAGAGGGCTTGACTCTGAGCGATCATGGGCCCACCTCATCCCCCAGCACCCTTGGGTCCAGAGGGAGTTTCCTTCCTGGTCTTTGCCTTTCTGCCCCTGTCTGGGCTTAACCAGGCTTCTACTTGAAGCGAGAAAGCTGGGGGAGAGAGAGAATGATTGGCAGTCTGGGGGTGAGAGAGTCTTTGCTGTGTGTTGTCCAGTGAGTGGCTGCTCCTCTCTGGGTCTTGGCTAGAGATGGGGGTGATGAACTGGAAGAAAGGACAATGAGTCAGGGGAATACAGGCACCTCCAGCCAGCACCTACCTAACTCAATTCCATTTCTGGGGAGTCAATAAGGTATGGGCCACCCACCTAAGTTGGAGGGTCAGAGGTGCAAGAATAGTGCTGTGGCCCCCACGTGGTGGAGAGAAGTCTCTGTGAAAGGTAGCAAATTCTTCTGAACCAGGGCTTCTGGGCCCTTGATGCTGGTGTCCCATGTGCTGGGGCAGGAGGAAGGGTAGAATGGGGGCTGGAATGGAACTGCCTACTGAGCATCTTTGTGGTCCCTGTCCTGCAGATGGGAAGGGCTCTCTAACACCACCACCATTGCTACTACCACCATCACCATCACCATTGCCATTGTCACCACCATTATTGTCTCTGTCATCATCATCACCATCACCACCATCATCACCATCACCACCATCATCATCATCACCAACATCATCATCATCATCCTCACCACCATCATCATCATCACCAACATCATCATCACCATTATCATCATCATCATCACAACCACTATTATCACCACCACCATCATCATCACCATCACCACCATCATCATCATCACCACCATCATCACCATCATTATCACCATCATCATCATGACAACCATCATCATCACCATCATCACAATCACCACCATCATTATCGCCATCATCAACATCACCACCACCATCATCATCACCATCACCACCACCACCATCATCACCACCATCATCGTCACAACCATCACCATCACCACCACCACCACCATCACCATCACCATCACCACCACCATCATCATCATCATCACCACCATCATCGTCACAACCACTATCATCACCATCACCATCACCACCATCATCACCACCACCATCATCATCACCACCATCATCGTCACAACCACCATCATCACCATCACCATCACCACCACCACCACCATCACCATCACCACCATCATC